TCAAAGTACTCTGTTTTTAAAACAACATATTTCTAGTAAGGTGACCATATTATTTTCAAAGTTATTTGCCAAAGGTCTTAATGATAAAAGTCATCCATACTCAGTAAAAGGTTGCACTTTTTTCTGCCATCAATCATTTAAGAAACCTCCAAAGCAAAAGATACACATTTTTATGGGTGCAATAATATTGTGTAAAGTGGCATTCCAAACCATATCCTTTCTCCTTTTGACCCTCCTCTATTACCCAAACACACCCCATGCAACCCCACGTCAGCAAACCATTTTGAAAACCTTCCCTTGAAGGGAGGTATATATGTTATGTATTTGTCGAAATTTTACAAGTAATGCAGAAAACATTATTACCTCATATCCACAGCCACCACCCTGTAGTTATCACTGAAAGCCTTCAACTGATATCGCCAGGAATACCAAAACTACAAAATAATACAGAATAATATGATACTCAAGAAACAATCCAACTTACACACCTCTAATAAGCAGAATAATATCCGAGTGCCTACTATTAATGTAAGACACATTGATAAATGACAAAAACACACCTCAGGGAATCCATGTAGACACAACATCAGTGGCTTGCTTGGATCGCCTTTAGCCACATAATGGATTCGTAAATTAGAAGCTGTTCTTAGGAAGTTGTGTTCTCCAAGCTCAGGGTCGAGAAGGCATGCAGGAGCTGTAGAGTGTAACCCAATAATCAACATTTTAGGCTTATTAAGTCAGACACACACTGTCAAAAATATGTGAAATTTTCAGAACCTCAACTGATTTTCTTGAAATTAAGAGCTCTTAAACCGTGCTTACGGGTTTCTCTTTTCTTAGGCCCCGGCGGAATCCTAAAGTTTCGAATGGTGTGCCATAATAGTCGTAAACAGACTAGTAGACCATAAAATAAAGCAAGACTGTATACAAACAAACTCTGTAGCAGTTGCATCCCCGTACTAATATCGAATAAGCCTCAAACAACAGCTCCGTAGTACAAAGGTGGCCTCTTCCAAATGCAGAGTGTTCAAAGGACGGCCCAAAATTTAATACGTTTGCAAGGTTGCAAGGAAGCCTGGGATCTTAAAATTTAGAATTTGGATCGGACTAACGCGTACGGCAGGAACACAGTGTAGGAAGTTCCACTGACAGGCTCTCAAATTTCGCAAAACCATACCATACACTTCCCAGACCTAGGAATAGGCTGTTCACAGCCTCCCTATTTACACACGCGAAAGAAAAAGCCAGTGCGAAGCATGCGGTCAAGCACCCAGTCAAGTCTTCCGTTTTGCGCTGGCGTCCGGTCCTCTCGCGATCATATCCACGCGTTCAACGATCGAATTTAAAAAATACGAGAAATAGGGGGCTGTGAACAGCCTAACCTAGGAAGTATACATTTGACTTGGGAGAAATAAATTCTACTGGTCGCCGACAATGAGATCATGACGACAAGGCTACTGCGAGTTCACTACAGATTGTTTCTAGGTTTTATTAACACTGCTGCTCTGAAGCGGACCAGTTTACAACACAACTGTACTAGCAATTGGCATTCTACTCACCTGTAAAGCTCTCTAGTATGGTATTAGTCCAGTTCTGGCTCTCTCTCCCCCAACGTTGCGTGACACACACGCACACACACCCAGAGAGAGAGAGCCAGAACTGGACTAGTATGGTAGCGTGTCCCACTCGGCTCGCTGATTTTTTTTTTATTTATTATTTTTCTTTGGCTCTGGACTCAACTTGAGAGCCTCTTCACAGGCTGGTAAGCTACATTCCCCACGCGTTGTAAGTTGCCCTTGCTCATCCTCACTGTAACTACAAAAAGAAAGGGTGGGAAGAGGGTATCTCTGCCGAGCAGGATGGCCACATACTTTAGCAAGAGATTCTCTCATTCATGATGCCAGGTCCTCAAACTCTTTACAGAAAAAAAAAAAAAGAAAGAAAAAACTAAGTTCCTGCAACAGTGTTTCTACGACGCGCAAAGTTAACCTTCACTGAATTCCTAGTGGAAATTTCAATTAAATTGTTTTGTAATCCGTTGCTGTAAAATCTTAGGCACTTACGTTCCTAAAGCCTTCTCTTTTATGCTTCGTGAGAAAAGGCATTTATGGGTTAAGCAATACAAGAAACAAACTGGAACATTTCCTATATAGTTTTGCAACATCGCGCGTTTAGCAAATTAATAGTTTGCGAAACATTCCTTTGATCTAAAAGAAATCAGTTTGAATCGTGCAAAAATGACCCCACATTGTGTAACGTACTCTTTTAATGACGCCATAAAGCACCTTTATATTTCAATGTTTAGCATTGTTTATTGCCAGTCTCAGTAATAATCAGCTGAGCTGTTTGAGTGACAGGTACAGTTTTCCTTTGATCGTTTTTTGTTCTGGTTGCAGCTTTCTCACAATAGCCGCAATCTTTTTTACAGTTTCGTCATTAGATAGTCCTGTTCTTTTACTCTTGAACTTCTGCAGCAGGTCCTTACTCGTCATGGGCTTCCGTGTGAGGTACCTCTTAACGGCTTCCTCGGTGATCCCCTGAGGGCCTTCTTCGCTACCGGTCGGCGTTGGGGTGCTTGTTCTTGAACCACCTCCTGTCCCCCCCGAAGAAGGTGCGGGGGATACACGGGGCTTTTTAGACGCGGGACTTCCATCTTCCACCGTGGTTCCTTTTTTGGCTGAGCTTGCTGGGCGCTTCTTGGTTTTAGCTGATAAAAACAAATAACTGTTCTTTAAAAAAAGAGAGATTGCCATGTGGAATAAAGGGTAAAATGTACTCACAGGTTGTCGCCGTTGGTTTAAGTAGTACAGTGAAACCGGCATGCGAGTTTTTGTTGCTAGACAAGGGTGGCTGGGGAGAGGGTTGGATGTGGGGGGTGTAGAGATGTGGTAAGTAGTTGGTTGCTCCACCCCCTCAATTAACTATGGTTGGTCCTAAACAAGACAGGAATCGATAGACGTGCAGGACGTGAAACATGGTGTAGAATTACGTACAGGGTGTTCCTGGTCGATCTTGACCGAGCTTTTTTGCAGCAGCGGCAATAGTGTTAGCTGCACCGTCCACAGCAGCTGTAGGGGTTGATGATCGGCTGTTGGATGACGTACTTGATCCACTAGCTGACTTCCTCTTCCTTTTCTTATCACCTTTAAAATAATATTAAACGTTAAGGTGAGTATTTTCTTTGTAGTACATCTTATCACATTTTCAGATGAAATTAGACGGTGAAAATGACTTGAACTTGTTATGAAGCAGACAAAAGAGAAGCAGCCTTGTGATAAACCACAGACAACTGTTCCACCTCTCATCATAATATGTTTTAACTCTCGTTCAAAGAATGTGTGTAATGCCAGGAAAATTGTGCTGCAACTAACGCATCGATTTATAAGGGGGCATTTCTAGGATAAAACATGGAGTGTCAACAATCTTGAATAGCTTAATTAAAATGGAGTAGAGAGAGGGACAAAAAACCTCAACAAACAACATGCCAATTAATTTATACTTGTACGATTGGCAAGTGATTTTCTTTTTATCACAAAAAAACATCACACGTTGTCAACTTTGTTTTCATGGAGGAGATGAACCACTTTGCTAAGTTGTATTAACTACATGTAACAATAGTACCCAGGCTCTTTCAAACCTTGTAAAAAGAGAGCTGAAGTGCCCTTAATATCATCTTGATCAGGATCTTCCTCCTCCTCGTCCCAGGACTCTCTCCCTTCCTCTCTGTCAAGCATGTCTTTTAGTTCCTGTCCTTCACGTGTCAAATCATCTTCCTCTTCACTTGACGTCTCCTCAGCATTTAGATCGTCTTCAGCTTTGGGTTTACTCACTTCAACAGTCTTGACAGCCTCTGTATCAAAACGAACAAGTTTGAGAGTTTTGTAGTACATTAAGATTGCTTCACAACAGCTTGTGATTTCCAGCTTATGAGTGTCTTTATTTGCTGGATCTGACTCCTTGAAAATGCAATAATGCTGCAAGGAGAAAGTGGATGTTTAATTCCGAGTTCTTGAGCTACAAAAATTTATCAGCAATCTGAGACAGTTCCATAACCTGGCTTTGCACAAAAGTTACATGGACTATGTGTTTGAGTCACCTTGACTTCACAGTTTACGTTGAGGGTTGCACTGGCTAACAATTTCATATTTTGTCTAACGAGACTACAATCTACTGACCCTCAGAAGATGAGGAAGTGTCTGACAGATAATCCATTTCCTTAGAATCCAGGTAGCCATCTTCCTCAGATGATGCATCGCTGTCATCTGAACCCTTCTTTTGTTGTCGTTTTTGACCAACTTTATGCTTGTCTTTCTTGCCTCGTTTAGCTGCTTGAAGCAAAACAGACAGGCTCACCATAAAAATATTAACAATAAAATTCAAATGAACTGACACACTGCCTACTATTAGTAGTATGTCTGCTGCTGTTGTCCTGTGCACCATACTAACTTCTAATTACACACGTTGATCCCTCCTAACAGGACTAGAGGAAGTCCTACCTTCCTTGTTTTTGTCACGTCCTTGACCTTCTTCATCTTCCTCATCATTTTCATCCTCTGACAGAGAGAGATCCCTTTCATCATCATGTATGATCTGCAGAAAACAAAATAATCTCTGAGACTCGGTAGTAACCAGTCCTAATGCAAATTCCTAGCGACACATTGTCAAATTGTTAAGCTGATTTCTCTCACAGTCAGAGGCTTGTGTCCATTCATTTGGTTAAAAATGATGATCAGAGAAGAGGGATTAGGGATCTGAGCATTAGGACTATAACATTCAATCAAAATTTCAATTTCTTGCAATTATGACCATCCAGTTTGATTCACAAAGTTTTGACAGCAGATGTCAATTTTCATTTGATTCAAAAATTGCCAATGCCAGACCAGGTTTTCACAACTTAATGTAAAAGATTCCTTGTTCCCAAACTTACAGCGATTGATAAATGAATTTTGCCTTTTGATCGCCGAATAGAAAGTTAGTGAAGGTACTCCATTTTCACTTTTTAGTGTTGATGCCTGGTGACAATTAACTTACCTACTTCCTCTACCTCAAGATATCCAAATAACCTGTAGTCAGGAAAATCACCTACCCAACATCACATTTTTGATTGTGCAGTTCCAAAAAAAATAGCCATACTCCCCCCACAGAAGGGATGGAATTTCCTGGGGGGTGGGGGATTCTGGAAGGCCAAAACATTTAAAGAAATGTATGAAGCTTAACTGGAATTTCCAGAGGGGTGGGGAGGTGTTAGAAAAAATCTCTTCCGTGGGGGACGTATGGATATTTTATGGAACTACACATTTTCAACAAGATGTCAATGTCACTGAAGGCCTACACTTCATCTCTTTTTTGCATGTAGTGCAAAGTAAGAGAAACTTGCATTTATCAGTCAAAAAATTGGTATTGGAAAGGCCATAATTGAAATAATAATGGAATCAAAAAGTAAATGAATTATTACACCCCACCCTTGTTTCTCACCAGGTTTCCTGTCCTACTGGCTGCTTTAACAGTTTTATCCAGCATGTTCTTCTCATCTCCTTCTTCCGAGTCCTCCTTGTTGTCCATTAATCGTTTCTTGACCATCAGAGAAAAATAATTCACTGTCCTCTCACGGCGACCAAATTCTTCCTCAGCCTCGTCTGCTGTTAGAGTTTGATATTTGATGTCGGCAGTGAAGTTGTACCAGTTATTGACTGGGACAGCTTCAAATGCTCCATCCTCACACTGAGTCAGTATGTAATAAGATGAATTCTCATTGATTCCTGCTTCCTTTCGACCAGTAAACCTGTAATTAATAATACAAGCTTAAAAATATGAATTCGTTACAGAGTAACAGAGAAAAAATCCAATTTGCCATAAACATTTCATTATCAAATGGAAAAAATTATTTATCAGAAATTCACATTAAAAACCATTGACTAAATGAGCAGATCTTCAAGATTAAAAAGGTCATGATTACATACACCTAACACTGCAAAATGAAATTGCTGGATAATAATTATTAGAGATAATAATTGAAAATGGTAATATGATCATTGTGTTTATCCAGAGAGAACTATGTTCCTATAATAGTTCAACTAGTTCAACTACCTTCTCCCACTTTTGCCACCAAGCTTCAAATTCCACGGTTCCGCCTCAGGATCCTTGGGTTTTGGAACAAACCCACGGCGCTTTTTACGTGCCTCTTCACGTCTTTCTCGACCAAATTCACTACCAGCACCAAAAGCAGGAAGATTTTCACTTTCTTTTTCTTCTACTGCTTCTGTTTGACGGGACATCTGGGCCTTAAAGGAAAGATCATAATATTCAAACTATAATTTAAGTAAAATAAAACAATATCAATAACAATTATTATAATCTAGCAATTTTACCACTCGCAGGCGATTGGTCTTGAATACTCCCTTGCTAAAAGTGGCGAATATTTGAGTGATATTGCCCAATCATAACGCCTGTGTCACAAAAAACATTTGGAAGGATAATGAATACAATAGCATATTTGCTATTTCAATTCTCGGAACAGATAACATCCAAAGACAAATATCTGTGCATATTTTTGTGCCAGATAGAGGTTACTGTAACTTTATTACATCACTAAAAGCTCACAACAGAGTTGGCAACTAAAACCGACATATGATTCAATGTTCAACTTCCTTAGTGCAACAATGTACCTTTGAGATTGATGAGAAGTCTACTTTTGTGCTCTGGAAACGCATCACAGAATATTTTTTTGCCAAATTCCTTAGAAACCAAAACAAGTATAATAATTAGTAGAGGAAAACTAAAAATATCTGAAAAGTAATAATAGCATTGTGTCATGATGTTTTGGTTATCCAGAATAATCAAGAAAAATTATAGTGCTATTAAACAAAGCTAATTGTTATGGCTGATAATACTAGATACCAAGACTTTGATTATCCCTTTGGCAAAGGGTTCACTTGTTTGGGTTCAAGTTTTTCCACGGAAGACAGAAAAGATCAGTTAAGTTTCCTACCTTGGTACTCGCACCTTGAACATGTTGCTGTTGACCGAACCTGCTATAGATCCTGACCCCGAAGACTGTGGCATACCTCCCACCTGATTTAATATAGAGCAAATAAGCCACAAATTTCACATAACCTTCTATAGCCACACGATGCTGCATTAAGTCCAAACTTTTAATAATTTTAACCATAACAGGACACCACATGCTAGAAAAGATCAGCTTATAGTCATCATTAACCCAGATGCCCAAGACTAAAAAAAATAGGCTCATGTGTACTAAAGGCGTCCGCGGTTGAGTGTCAATTGATACCCTCAATCAATACCCTTGATCAACCCTCAGTCAATGCACACTCCAACAACAACTCAGTTGACATTCAATCAACACTCCATTGACATCTCAGTCGACAATCAACAAATTTTTTATCGTTACATGAGTCAGTCCACACTTGGCTGACTATCCACTGACCGTTTATCAAAAGTTGATCAAGTGTTGATTGAGTATCGATCGAATATCAATTGGGATGTCGATCAAGTACCGATTGAGATACTGATTGAGAGTATTGATACACACTCACCCGTGGATGCCTTTAGTACACATGATCCAGAAAATGTACATCAAGACAAAGAATGTTTAGGGCTTGGTTAGTCAGCAGCTGGTACAAACATTTGAAAATATTAATTTCCTTACATCAGAATACAATCACAATCACTAACTATAGGCTAACATGAACGATCTACAAAGTTCCACATTGCTACTAAGCCTATAAGATTATAGATTGATCTAAGTAAAGTAAACGTAGACTATAATATAAAAAAACAGAAACTGAATTTATACAATATTCAAGCTTAATAAGAAACTTTTAGCAAGTAAGTCAATAGTTAGGCTTGAGCATAGCCATAAAGATTTTAGCAAGCGTTTTTACCTTTTGTTGAAGAATTGTCTTTGCTGTCGCTTGTACTGGCGACACGGTTATTTGTTTCTCCATTATATTTTTTAACCAAAGTGGCAAACAGATGAAAAGAAAATGAAAATGGAGTGGACACGAAGGTGCGACACACGAAATATAATCGATAATTATAACGGAGTCGACATCAGACAGGCGCCATGTTGAATTCTTGGTAACCTCTCCAAAAGGATTGCTACTTTGCAGCCACGTCAGAAAGAGAGAGCGAGGAGCCTGGGGCGAGGAGGTGCAGAAAGGGGAGGGGGGTCAGGGAAAAATAGTGGACAAGAAGTTTTGAGTTTTCATAGACTCAGAAGGCAAGTTTTTTTTCTTCATACTATTGCTTATTTTTTCCCATTATTCTTGCTTAATTGTGTATGTAAAGAGTCTGGAGTATACAGAGCAATCTGCTAGCAGCTGTTTTCAACCCGCCACTTTTGAACAAAATTATGCCATTAAGTTCTGAGAAGTTTACGGATGGAAAACTGTAAGAAATACATGCTGCTCCCTCCTGATCATCCTCCCATATCCTTTTTTAAAAATTTATATTGTTTATACATATGCAATTAATTTTTTTCAATATACTGATTATATGTTTTTTGTTTATTGTTGTTGTTTTTCAATTTTCTTCTGGAGTCAGAAGTTCAAAGCATGACCATCATAATCAGGATTTAAGTCACCGATTGGTATGAAATATTTTGATTTTTATCTCAGTTTGGTGGTTTTCACTTAACACAGCTGAGCCCACTATCTTGAACTTTCAAGGGAATGAAAGATAGTTCCAGATAGTGCTGATACTAAATTACTGAAAAAAATATCCGGGGAGCTTGATTTGAGGTATCCGAGTTTGAGATAACAATTATCTGTATTTTGAAAAGTTACCATATCCCATACAAGTCTGTTTGTGCAAGTCACAGAGTATCCGCTAGCTTTCAGTCAACATCAGTTGATTGTGGAACAAAATGCAAAAAGATGAAGAAAAAGAATTGTAAGTCATGAGCTGGGAAAAATTTATATGGATAATTGGTTAACTTGCTGCTTTGATAAACAATCATATGACCTGAAGCCTTCGCATTTCATGGAAAGTTAAGCGACAACATCTTTTTTTATAAAAAATATTTTTATTTTCCTTTTCACACCAGTAAGATGCTGGACTTAAATAAAGTTAATGCAAACTTGCATCGCAAAAATATGTTCCAGTCTTCGAGAAATTCAATATCTACAAATCTTTTCATGTCATTTTCTATGTCCCAAATCACTCTTATTCGCAAAGCTTGTTTCAAATGTCTCCATTAATTTAAAACTCATAAATTTGTCAAACATGCTTTTGCATTTATGTGGATTTTTCATCGATAACAATGATAATTTCATTGCCTCAGGCGAAAAAAATTGAACTAGGAACATGTCTGCTAAAGACGTCAATGATGTTATGCAAGTTCACTCTTCAGTAAACATCATTCAGAAAATGAGGTACATCATTCATCAAATTGCAACATTGTCAATATTTAAGAATGCTGATTGGAGATGGGTTGTGTTAATAAATAATTAACTCAGCTTTCTATGGATATTGACACCTGATTGGTCATGTAATAAACCAATATTTCTGCAAAAATTAAACAACTAGACCATGACTGTGAGGCAATAAACGGAACTTGAACAATATTAGGAGAACATTTCAATTAAATATTCTGAAAGGGCTTGAGAATGTTAATTTGATATAGGCTAGTGTCACTCGCAAATCTGGAGCCTGACAAGACAAAATTCATCAAGTTGAACATTCTGATGACAGATGAAATTCCCAATAATTGATTGGTTATTTCAACTGACGGTTTACGAAGTTTTGCAATGTATATTATGAAATCACTCTCATGCAAAATATATTACAGTGATCGGTTTCTGGTCACAACCCAGCAACGTATTGCCAAACAAATAACTTATGTATGTATGTTTGCATGTCTCAATTTCCTCAACGAGAGCCTCGCGTATGATATGTTTATATACAAATTTTTGAGACAAAATGTGTAAAAACTATATGCAAATATTACTCAAGTGTTAACAGATGCTAAAGAATTAAACCACGAACCTGCATGGAAAGCATTCAAATACTTACCGTACGAACCTTTCAAATCTGTTTTTCAGCAATAAAAAAATGTTTCGAAGTTCTCGCAAAAAATAAATTGAAATTGGCACGTTCAAAATTAAAATCACTTTTTGAAACTTTTAACGAAGTTTATAACAAAAATAACTATTTCACAGAGATTATAGAATGATGCAGAATTTTGACTTGGGTTGCGTCTTAGCTCCTCTTTCGTTGCTTTCAGTCTTGTGTGGTCGAGAATCCACCATCAGGTGGTTATTGTTGCTGTAAGTGCTGAGTGTAGACGTTTTCCGGATAAGGTCTAATTTCTTTCTCGTAATTCGATGAAGGACTACCCTGTAGGTTCCTGTTATACTGTCCCTTGAATCTCTACATTTCGCAAAATGTTCCGACGAAATTCCAAGTTCTTTCATCGTGTTCAAGGCATCTCGTTCGTCTTCAGACAACTCCGTACTCTCCGTACCGGAAGGACAGAGACTGTACTTTGTATCAGGCCGTGGAAACACTTCGCTTTCAAGCCAAGCGGAGTGTTTGATCTCCTCCATTGTAAACCTATCTGTAGGAACAGGTCTTAGAATGTTCCGTAAAAGGAACCGACAGCGATCGGTCAAAAACTCTGGCAAATAATAAGTTCCATCGAGAATACACTTCTTTAGCTTGCCTACTGTCTCGGCACGGAATGGCATTACGCCAGTGACCATGAAATAAAGTAGTATTCCTAAAGCCCAAATATCCACATACACTCCGATGTAGTGTTCATCCTTAAACAATTCCGGGGCGGCATATGGTGGTGAACCACAAAAAGTATTAAGTGTGCTGTCCTTAGTTGACAATGTACTAAACCCGAAATCTCCAACCTTCACTAAATTCGGACCCGCAATGAACACATTCTCTGCTTTGAGGTCGCGATGAATTATGTTGTTGTCATGCTGAAATTCAGGAAATGAAACATCATAAGCAACGTTGCAAGTAAAATCGACCTTCATTATTTTACATTGTTAAAATCTGTATAGTGTACCAGTTGTTCAATCCCCAAACAAGAACGATCGGTCTTAAGAAGTTCTAGCTTACAAAATGAAAGCTTACCTTACGTCTTAACGCTAAATACTTATTTAGCAGGAAACGATGTCGAGTAGCCATACACTCTGTTGGCGCTCTAAAGCTTGTTACATCAAGTGTTGAATGCTTTTATATCATTAAGGAAAAAAATCCCGTTTTGCCTACTTACCATATGTTCTACTGCGGATGCTACTTGGGCATAAATTCGACGAGCTGTTCGCTCGTGCAATTTTCCCTCGTTCGAAATTCGAGCGAACAATTCGCCACCAGGCGCGTATTCCATCACGATGTGCAGCTTGGAAAGCGTTTCGATCACTTCATAAAGTCTGATTATATTGGGATGATGGAGTTTCTCCATCGAAGAAATTTCCCTAGATAGCAATCGTTGCGTTTTCTGATCCAACTTTGTCTTGTCCAAGATCTTGATAGCAACTTTGTCTGCAAGTAAAGGTAGCATGTAAGTTCACGCTAAGTGACGCAGGCCGCCATGCAATAATTCTCGATCGCCTAACATTCTTACCTCTTGTAAGTGAATGTATTCCCATTTTAACCTGGCAAAAGTTCCCACTACCCAATTCTCCTCGAATGCGATAAAATCCAATTCGTTTGCCGAGAGTTATTTCCTTGATATAGCGTTCGTCGTGAGATAAATCGTACGTCAAGCGTTCGAAAGGTGTCAGACTCTTTTCTCGATGTTGTTGTTCGATGTGTTTGCGTTCTGCTTCTCCTTCACGTTCCCGTGAGGAAGAATCAGCCATGTTGTTAGACACCGTCATGGTTCTGAAAGGTTTAGGGCCGCCATGGCGAGAGTGACTGATCAATGAAGAGCGGGCGGCCAGTGCACTCTGTTGTGACGGCGAACAAAGGCTACGAAGTCCCGGCTGTTACTATGGAAACCTCTGATCAATTCACTGATTAATTTCTTTGTGTTCGTCTTAGTGGATTGTCTCCTAGCGATGCGTCGTACTGTTTTTATTTTCCCAAGACAAAAACAGATTTTTATCTTTCTTTCGATGAGATAAACAAAATATTCAAGTGGATTAAGCAAAAATACCATAAATCGTTTAGTTAGGCTCAACTATCGGAGAAAATTGTTTTAAAAAGTAGAGATTATGTTTAGCTACAAAACAAACTTCTTGAAACTTCGATCTTCACTCTAGGTTGTCAGCTCCAGAGATCATGACCTACATTGTTGCCTATAAGTTGCTTTCTTTCAAACCAATTTAATAAGTTAACTATTAACACTTTATTGAAAGCTTAATTATAAATAGTTTGCTGACGATTCTCGTGCCCAGATGAAGCCTGTAATTAAAGAAACGAACTTGTACTTAATTTTGAATTCTTGCTGATTCCGTGCGGATCAAAGAAAGTGACGTCTGAAATCTGTGATCAAAAGAATCCGAAATTAAAATTTTACACGCCATGTAGTGCAACCAACCAAACACGTTGCCGTTGATAACCGGACTTAAATTCTTGGCATTTAAGTATTAAAAGTTATTGCCCGTTAGTCATCCATTTAATTTGGTAACAAAATGATCTTAAGTTGTAGGGAGGGTATATAAATGTTATAACATTTTTTTAAGTCTAAGTTCTGTATTCCGTGTGTTATTTGAGTTCAGTTCTTCATGTGTTTGCAGGGACGGCGGAGCCGGGGGTACTGAGGGGGGGGGGGATCATTAGGCCCCCAATTTCAAGCAAAAACTACACAGAATAATAATTTTATAAATATCTCCAGACTCTGTAAGCCCCCCCACCCCCCCCCCCGCCCCCGCACCCTCCCAATTACGCTCTGCCATCCCTGGTTTGTCCTGTTCACCGCTGATCATGAATTTCGTCATAACATTGTCAAAGTAGCTGTGAGTCCACGAAGCGAAAGCTGAGTGGCTCCGCAGACTACTTTGACATTCATTGTCAATAACAGGACAGATGCATGAAAAACTGGCGTTAATTCGTTTTTTTACGTTAAGAAATTGTCAAATTGTCCTCTCTCGCTCGTTGACGCATCGCATAAATTCATGTGTCTCTCCTCTTATTGACAATGAAATTTAGCCAATGAGCCCGCGAGAATTTCTGCAGTTATCGCAAAACTAACAATTGCGGTGACAAAGTGCAACGCAATCGTAATCCAGTCTGTATCGAGATTTTTTGGGACAGATTTGTTCACCGATTTGGCCTCCCCACAGCAGGGGCAAATTACGTCATACGTGCCTGTACGCAGTCACGTGAACAGCTCCTGATTCGATGCAAGTGTTCAAAGCTGCAGTCTGGCACTAACTGCAAACTTTGGTGCTGTGATTTTCGGTAATAGGTGGCTCAACCCTCGTCATCAAGAGTGCAGCTCAGCGACGGAAAATTTCCATAATTGTGGTCCGAAAACAAATTTTTCGGGACGTGTAGCTTGGCTAATGGCCAGGATATGTGGTTAGAAAAGTTTCCGAGTTGTAGCTTGGACTAGCTCTGCAGTGACCATGATTTGTTGTCAGAAAACAAACTTTCCTTGTCGGGTAGCTCGCCAAAGAATGAGATTTGTGTTTAGAAATAATTTCACCTTTTCCATGCATTTGTGTAAACAAGATGTAAGTCGAGCAATTTAAACAAAATTGACAAGCTATAATGTATTGGTGACGCGCTGTCTGGCAGGGTCGGCTAGTAAAAAAATTATTTTCTCAAGAAAAAAAAAATAGAGAAAAATATCATAGAAAGGTAAAAATCTCACGTTCGAGTTTAAAAACCTCGTTTAAATTAAGTTTACGTTTATAAACGCTAATAGAGCCAGCATTCTTGATGTCCTCTGGTGAGCCGTTCCAGAGATGAGGTGCCGCAACAGAGAAGGCACGTCGGCCATAGGATTTTAGATTAATATTATGGTAAGGAGATTCTTTTGAGACGATCTGAGGTTGCGCGCGGGCTGATAAGTAAGTCCTTGATGTAGCGAGGAGCGAAATCATGAAGGCCTTTGTAAGTGATAAGGAGGGTCTTGAATTCAATGCGTAAATTTATAGGAAGCCAGTGTAGATCAGCATCTTGGTGACAATGATACGTGGCGGGCAGCAATATGTTGTACATTTTGAAGTCTTTTAAGGACGAAGTTAGGTAAACCGTACATCAGCGAGTTACAGTATTCAAGTTTTGAGGCGTGAATGAGGCACCGTATTTAAACGTACAACGAATTCAGTTGTGAGGTACGTGAAATCATACCAATATTGCGTAATGGAAGAAAGCCACTTTACAAACAATGTTACATGAGGTACCATACAAAGAGACTGATCAAATATAACACCAATGTGACGTGCATTAGAAGAAAAATATACTGTCAAATCACATATTGTAATAAATGATAGAGGAGGCCGAGGTCCATGCAAGGAGGATACCCTCAGTCTTGTCCTCGTTCATTTTTAGTTTATTACAAAGCATCCAGATGGCGATATCACGAACACAGGCCATCAACTTGGACTCACTCCGGTCCATCATCAGGGGAAGACTTAAACTGAGTAATAAATACAGCTGCATGTTGTCCGCATATATGTTTAAGTGAAAATTGATATCATGAGTTCGAGCAATATCACCACTTGGAGAGGTGTACAGTGAATGTAGCAATGGTCCAAGCACAAACATAAGGGTGCGACGATCAGAAACGGAGCCATACACTTCGACAGACCGTACGGTCGGAGAGATACGACTGAAACCCCTTAAACACAGTCCCACTGTTCCCAAAACGACGAGAAAGGCGCGAAAGGTGAATGGTATGGTCAACATGTACTGTGTATAACTCTTCGTTTTGCCTTCACGCGTCTAAGAGTGGTTGCTTACACGCTAAGTAACTACTCAATAACAGTTATGGCCTGGGGTGCCTGTGGACAACACAAAGACAAACGATGTGCGAGTGGCAATGGAAACCTTTTACATTTTATTGTCATTAATTCTGTGCCATATGCTCTCACGTTAGCAATGAAATACTGGACTCAGTGAAGTACTATAAAGAGAACTCAAGAGTGTGCAAATACAAATCGTTCCTATGTATGATGATGACTTTTATTAACATTGCTTTAGACTTGTCCAGCATAAATACTTTATAAATAAAAGTAGTTCATCATATTGAACACAGCCTGCCAGAGCTGTTCTGAAGTGTCGCCGAGTCCTCTGAAATCAACTCGATGCTGCTGTGTATCACCGTGAGTGCTTTTCTGCTCCAGCCCCCCTGGATGTGTCTCGAACCTTCCGCATGGCCAACTTCCTGTATCTCTCAAGTTCCTGCAAAGAACAAAAGCAATTTACAAAGTAATTTAAAAAGTAGTTCACAACCAAGACTGCGAAACATTTCAGTTGAACACCGGGGGGTCAGGAAATAACTAACATAACAAAAACCTCGGCCAATCATGTTCAAAATCGCGGTAATCAAATGGAATACTTGATACTTCATCTATCTTCAGTTGCTTGTGATTAAAAAATCACAAGGGTATTTATCTATCTCAAAGCATTTTTGTACCTATAATTTCTAACCTTTCGCCAGACTATGCAAAAAATAATACTAAGAATAATATTATTTCCATTGAAGTTTGTCAGTAAACAGCTAATAATAATAATAATAATAATAATAATAATAATAATAATAATAATACATGGCAGAATTTTAAAAGAACACCACAAACGTGAGCTGGAGCGAAAGTACCAGATTGCTGAAATAGGCCTTAAACATGTCTCTGAAGATCTTAAACAAAGAACTAATATAATAATAATAAAGTGAGAGGTTTTTTTTTTCCAGCAAGCATTTGCGATGACACTCAGTCTCTAAGTAATGTAAGGTTTGCGTTATTGACTCAACACCTGACAAGGCGAATTATCATTGTGGTTTCCAGTTTACCTCATCTTTCTGTTTCCTCATAGTGTCGACCGCTGGCTCAGCATACTGAGGATCTTTAGAAGGATCTTCGCTAGTGCTGCGGCCCTGGGATTTCTATAAAAGAAAATTGTCCTTCTATAACAAAACCCACCCCTAACAACAATGAACATCGAAGATCATCTACCCAAAGACACCAACCACCGAATTCTCATTAGAAACATTTAACGAGGTGCACGTAAGGAGAAGTATCAATTAAGTTTGGGACTGTAGAGGATCGACTGTCGTTTCTTAAACAAAACTACTATTTTCAATGGAAAGTTACATCGAGCCTTACCTCGGGTGGAAAAAACGCGGAGAAGGCAGCCTTCCAAAGTTCAGTTGGATCCCTGAAAAGTAAAGCGAGGTATACTAAAAAATCAAAAGTCACTACTTGTTTACTTCAGGTTAAGGTTCCTTAACTCTCTCCATATTTGGTTCCTAAAACTCCTTTAACTTGCTTTAACCAATCGAAAAAAAAAGTTTAAAACTGAAAAAAACTGCCCAAAAGTTCAAGCTTTGTACAAGAAGTCATCAGAATTTGATTTTGTAAACCTGTTATTTACAAACACAAAACAGATATTTTATCCAAAAAGCTTCGTTTTACTTCGTTTAAACCGTTCACTTGTCAAAGATGATAAACGAGTTGCGTCGACCAATCAGGAATGAGACTGCAGATGCTAACTGGTGTATTTACCTGCTGTGTATTTTTCCCATATCTTGACTGGCCACTGGGGGTGCCCCTGTTTAACAAAATAAACTTGTGAGTGATGGAACATGATAAGGTGTCAGATTCATTTGGGGTTAGTCGAGCCCTCATACATTTAGAAACTCTCTATCCACAAAGAGAGGAATATTGAATTGTAGAACTACTAACAAAGAACCTGCCGAAACAGCGATCTTAAAGAAAAAGCTGTTTAGATTTTACACTTATGGCAGTGTTGAGCGCGCTAAGTCAGTTACGGGAGAGAAGTGCTGGCAGTGAAAACGCTCTCACCAATCTGAGATAACGAGTCCTGGCCAGCTGGAACAATGACGGGTTTGTTGTGATCCACTGATACCACTTTACTACAAAACAAGGTATAAACACGTTACACTTGTTAGTACACTTCTTTGCAACGTTAGTTTATATCGGCTAATAATCTCAGAAGGCTACTTTGTTAGCATAGCGCTGACTGAAAGTAAATTTCGCTCATTCGTTCAGTAACGAAAGGCGACTTTGCACAAAGAAAGCATCGCTACTAAAGTGACTTGAAGAACTGATGCAGTAGTAACTTACCTGAGTGGGGTGCGGAATAGCAGTGACCCAACCAGACCCCGGGTGCGGTTCGTCAGACCTTCAGCTTTGGTGCTAAAGAACTGATAAAGGAAGTGAACTTTAAGTTTTCACCAAAACTGATCATAATAACAAATTTGTGCGAAACATTTCACTGACAAAAGGGTCAAGGTTCCCTGTGAAATCTAATAATGAATTGGGTTTCAATTTGTGATATGACTTGGTACTCTTTGTTCGCGTTGAACTAATGCAGGCCAGAACTTTGCTACAGGACGATATAACTGGTACCGAGTGAGATTCAGCTCGAGTATGAGGAAGATAGCAAGTCACAGTGGTGAGAAACTCACTGACAACCTTTTGACGTATTTCTGCTGGTTTCCCCAGATTCCTCAGTCAATCAAGAGCTAACTGCTTCCCGCGTTTACTTTGAATCGAGAGAAACTGTCAATAAATTGTAATGACAGACACGATAGACAAACAATGTTTGTTCCTTAGTTACTTCAAGTGTTAATTACGACTGAGACAATGCATTAGAAGAAATTACAAAGCCTCTGGACTGTGAGCAGTCTCTCTTTTCCTCGAAAATCCGTGGGGAAGAACGCAAAACAAGTAAACGTCACAAAGCCCGTTGCATCGACTCATTGGTAGTCTCATCTGGATTGTGTAGAAGTTTTAATTTTGTTAATTGAAAATTGCAAATACCCCACGTTTAACTAAGTCCATCATCAAAAATTCTTGAAGCCATGTCCACAATAGACCGTCAATATATTAAAACTCAGCTTGGCAGTGAGGATTAGAGGACACAAACAAAGGGAATTGAATGACCATGTTTATTCATTTCTTTTGTTTGTGTCCTCTAGGCCTCACTATCAAGCTGAGTTTGTATTATTATACTGAAAGTGGCCTATTGAAGGATCATTATTCCAAATTAAAATTCAGCCGCGCGACTAACACTTGTTATAGTACGTAAGTAAGCAACTTTATTTTACCAGGGTAGCAAAAAAGAAAGGGAAAGAAAAAGAAATGGTAATTAAATCAGCAGTATAATACCAACCTGAAGGTGAGCACCATTCTTGTGCGCTACAAATCGTAACGCTCTGCTTATCATTTTTCGTTTCTCAGGATCAAAATCCTGGAATTGTTAAATTACAAAAACATATCAATAAAAACAGCTGTTCGTGACAACGTTATATTTTTAGGACTACGTTGGTATTGGTTTTTCTTGCATTATTAATAGTTTCACTCTTGGTGAGAAGCAAGGGATATTTTGAAATAGTGCCATGCAGTCCAAACTGTACAGAATCACCGGTCCTTAAAGAAGCTCACGGTATTTAAAGTTATAATTTTGGCCGCGTACAATATTACCTTTCAATTGAAGGAAACCTGAAAATAACAGTTTTTTTAAGATAGAAAAACACCGAAGAGATAATAAAAAACCACAAAGAACAAGGATGGCTGAGGATGGGGAAGCTTCACACCAATTACAAATGAAGAACTTGAAAAATTTAGGCTAAACTTTTCAAGATGCGCAAACCATGACGTAGCTCCTTTCAGTTAGTATAAGAAACAATCCTGTTTTTGGCAAAGTTGTTGGTTACTAAAGAAACTTTGTCAGAGGGCAAGTAAAACACTTAGCTATTTTTCAACTTGAAGTTGATACGGGTCAATTATCCACCATTGTAGCTCATTGTAGCAAGTTTGTAAGTCTGACATTTTGAGGATTGCCCTTCATCAGAGCAAAGTCATATTTTTGATTTAGGCGCAGGTTCTTGAGAAATGATGCCACATAAGATGTACAAAATTTTGTTTGATCATTCTTGCTCCAAGACCAATATCATGTTTAGATCTTTCCAGGAGTTGACTCACTGCTCACCTGATAAATGTCATATTTCCCACCAATTATGGCAAGAGGTATGGGAAAGGGATCAATAGAAGATTTGTCCTGCAAAACAAAGAAGATAAAACCAAATATTCTTGTCAGAACGATTCTCAAACAAATACATGTAAAAAAAATATCTGACTATAAAACACAAGAAACAGATTCATACATACAGGATGTTCTTCTCCAAATTTTTTCCAAGCTTGTTTCTTAAGCTGCTGTACAGAACTGAAAAGACATAATCAAAATTCTTACATACCATAGACAAATTAATTTTGAGCATTTTTTTCTAATTAGTCTTCGATACAAAACGAAAAATGCATCATGTAGTTCAAAGGAATATTGAATAATTTACCCTTGTTTTGCACTTTCTAGACTCTCCAGTGCTTTATTGACTTTAGACTTCACCTAAATAGACGTATTGAGATTAGCTACATGTACATGTAATGTCATTGCTGAATGTCATTTGTAACTATGTTGCAAAATGGCTGTGGTATTGGCAAGGGTTCCATTTAGATTGATCAATATATAGTGAGTTTGATTACTAAACACAACCATTTCATAGCTGTCCAATGACTTCCTACCTGAGAGAGAAGTGTTTCCATGGTGTGCCAGAGTTCATTTGGAAGGGACAAGTCTAACACAATCACAATAGCCATACTCCTGTACAAGAACCAAAGAGAAGATGCAGCAATAATATTCATGGTCATTTCAAATGTTCTCCCTGGGGTGGATACCAGATTTTCAAGAAGCAGGGTTCAAGATATGGTCCCCCGTGTAGGGGGGCCTCCCCCAGAAAATTATTAAAATCAAGGTCCTCGGAAAAGGGATTTCTGGCATTCTGAGCCCAAGTCAGCGTGCTATAATGTCTCTCAGGTTCAACTGAACCCCAGAATCCCCCTAGATCTATCATCAGTAATTCAAGTTCACAAGCAATCAAGTGTCAACTTGCAAGCATGCACTGACCTAATTGTAGCAGAAGTGAGAGGAATTTCAATCAGTTTCGACAGATATGTTCCACCTCCAAGTTCCCATATGTGGCCTATGTCTTTTCCCTGCAAGAGAAAACAGGCAGAAATTGAGAAATTGAAGTTCACCAAGCTAAACTAATCAGTGCTGTTGATATCAAAATATTCCCCAGTGATAGAGTTTCTAACAGTAGCTTCTCTTTGCAATTTTAGTCTAAATACATGCAGGCAAATCATTAAGAACTAGCAAGGAAAAACTAACTTGGTACCAAAATTAAGTTAATTTTAAAAGTATCAGTCTGAGGAGGGAACTCTCTCACACTGATCTTGTTCAATAGACAGTGCAAATGTACTTATTTCCTTGATGTCATTCTGATCTGAAGTCCTAGCCCACATTCTCCATGATTTACTCGCTCTATACCATTTTATAAATTACATACAACACTGTCAGTAAGAACTTACGATATTATGACCAGTTTTGGCTCTCCGTCCAAATGTATAATCTAGAGCTGTGGTTGGTTTGGGAGCTTCATCACTACAACAGAAAACAATATGAATTTAAGGTTTTTGCTTTCTCACTACAGGGTTTTACCACATGACCAAAACTTGTTTTATAACACAAAGTCAGGATTCTAGAATCATTTAAAGCTGAGGTGTCTAAGAAAGAAAGAGGTATCTAAGAAAGGTTCTACTTACCGGTCAAGAAATCTCAAAATCATTGAGGTTTTTCCCTAAAAACATATTTGATTTACAATAATTAATAATGAGTAAATAAAGTAAATTTTCAATTAAAAATTGCTGAAAGGCCAGAAACAATATTTATAACTCATTAACTGCAGCATAGCATGGATTCATCATAACACATTGGACTGAGCTTGTGATCAAGAGAAGGGAAAGGAATTTAAGGTGGCTGGCAACAGCCACCTTAATGACACTTATCAGTTGATGATACACCAATGGCATCAAATCAATGTCTTATCATTGGTGAACAGGTTGTGATCATCCTTACTGACAATAATAATTGTTGTGCTTAACAGAATTTCTTTAATATAGCAAGCTACAATAGAACCAGAAAAACCTATAAAACACCCCCTTATCCTAGTTTCAAGTGATTATAACTTAAAAATAAGCTCAGTGACCCTCATTTAAGGTGACATCTTAACTTGCAGTGTATAGCTATACTTATTTAAGTCACCTTCAAGTTCTTGAGGGAATTTGAATCAACCAAACCTCGTACTGTGGCTTTGGTCGAAACATGTGACCTGCTTTTGATGATCTCAAAAATGCAGAATATAAAAAGGCAACATAATATTTAAGACACAAGGTCTCAACGTTTAAGACTTACAGAGTTTTTACTACCAAGGATAAAGATGCTGGATTCATCACTACTTGATAAAAGTGAATCTTCTTGTTGATCTATAAAAAATAAATATTAACAAATAAAGAAGTCTAAGCCGTGTATTACACTGTCATAAAACACGATAGGCATTTGAGAACACCAAGGAAATGTAGAATAACATACATACATACATACATACATACATACATACATACATACATACATACATACATACATACATACATACATACATA